AGGGAGAGAGAGATTAATGTGAGATATATAGAGAGAGGGGTCTTTTTTTTCTTTGTGGCGTTTGAATTTGTATGTAAAAGTAGGGATATTCCCCTAGAAAACTTGGGCTTGGTATTTTTGTGAAGAGTATTTGTTTTAGTGAAAGAAGAAAAGGCTATTTTAGTATTTCTTGTTCGTTTTGGTTGGGGTTACAACCATATGTTATTCTCCTTCGTTGCTGATTTTGTTTATTTTAAGATTGAAAGAAGGTCGCATCAAATCTCCCGGGATCCTTTATGTATTATTTAGTATTAGAGCACTGTTTGAAGAAGGTTAGCGACTAGGATGGCTCATCATGGAGTTCATGGCCGAGGGAATTCCTAGCTAGACTGAATGAACAAGAAAATAGAGAACTTTGATGGAGATGGTTAAGAAGTTGTTGCATAAACACCATAACTCATTACGATCAAAGATGACATCTATGGTGTTTGATTCATATTGTGCAATTTTTTGTGGAGATCGACATAAATTAGACTGCAAGTCTGAGTGGGAACCGCTTGTAATTATGCTTAATTGCACTTATGGGTTGGATGCACGACGTCATCAATCGGAGCATCAATGTGAAGAAGAGTTCGGTATCCGACTACCACGAAGCCAATGTAATTGGTTTAGAGGAGTAGACCGAAACAAGTGTAGGGACGAGCAGAGCAGGATCATCCCAATCCAAGAGACTGGCACCTCCAACTCGGGAGTTGCTATTCTTACAGCTAAACTGCAACATGAGCACCGCACAAGTACACTAACAAAGTTATGTGATTCCTTGACCACAGAAAACCCTGAATCTTTGCAGTAAAGGTGCATGAATCGAAAGATACAAAAACACTAAATTTGATAAAAGTGGGGTGGATGTATTTATAGATCGACGTGCTGAAAAGGGAGACGTAACTGGGAATATTTCTGACGTTTTTATTGATGGATGGATGGAGAATTAAAAATCCCATGTTGAAGAAATTTAGTTTGTGTCACTAATAAAGAAGCATTTGTTTTCAAAGTTATTTATGTTGAAGACAATGTTGAATTAGCAAGTGATCTCCTCCTAGTAAACATGGAAAAGCAACCCCCGACTACAGTGGAATGGGATGTGGGATTGGATGAGCAGATAAGGGTAGTGATATCTGATCACGGAGAAGCGCTGATGGTCAGACATGAACTATCTTTGTCGCCATTGAGTGAGGACATCACGCACGAGTCTTCCAAAGATGAGGATGTGTGGCACTACTCTCAATCCGACAACACATGCAGGAAAAAGTTGTTGATATTCATATTGTAGATGATGGTATGGTTAATGTTGATATTAGTGGCAACAATGACTTATGCGAATTGGAGTTGTGTAATGGAGGTGTTAAGAGTGATGGTATAAATATGGAGAATTGTGGTTTGTTTTTTGTTTTGAAAAAGCCTAACCATGATGTGCGGAATGGTTATGATGAATTTGGATGGTTTGGTCGTTTATTGGAACCATTTCATAATTGGTGTGGTATCTTTAAAGTGTGGGTCTAACAATCTCATGTTGTTTGGGAACTGATGGCTACTAGTGCTTATTTGACATGTTTAAAATATGTGAGGACGATAATTTGCTGTGGAGTGTGTTGATGATTAGTCACTGCACCAAAGTAGGAGGGATAGCCAATTGTGAGGGACGAAAGCGTAGTTCGATACGGAAGCAATATTGTTATATTTTGGGTTGGATTTATGGTTTGAAGGGCACGACTAATGCAAACTATAATGACATGTTTGCTTCCTATGATTTGGGTTGAAGTCATAATCCTAAGTTTGATGAACTTCATGGTGAATTTAGTAGAGAGGAGTGGAAACTTATGGTAACTGGGCATGAGCTTGCTAGTACCATCAATAAAATTGGAGCGAGGTGTTATTGGTGATGATGTAGCTTTGGAGTCTGGAATCAGTTGTTTCCCTTGTAATTGCCCCCACAGAGAGATGCTTCAATTGGCGCCTTGAGATGACAATGTGTGTAACACCTCAAATGTGCAGTTCTCTTGTAATTCATGTTGTTCATCTTATTGATTTTTGTTTCAAGCTACCTGAAAATGCGAGTTTGGAAGAAGATGCTATATGTGAGCTCCTTAGCGTTGGTATTCATGCTTGTTGTAGAGCAAGTGTTGGACCCAAGTCGAATGCATTGGTAATGGAAGCAGGTCCCATTTACCTTGTTACTATGCTTGTAGGCCTTATTTTGGAACGCGAAAGGCTATTATAGTGGATCTAGATGACCAACGATTGTCTTTTGCCAAGTTGATTGGTGCATGTCAATTGCCAAAGTTTCTATGAACATGCAAGATGTTGATGAAGAAGTAGACCACATAGAGGAAGTTATGGGGAGTGCAGATGATGTAACAATTGATTACGCATGCGTTGGCAAAACCATGCTGACTACCTTGGAAGGTGCATATGTTGACGACAATGTTTGCCTTATGGGATTGGGACACTGTGAAATGACAAGTCTCATGTCAGAATATACTATGGATGTAGACTACCAAATGGCCTTATTAGTACCTTCTTCATCAATTCCACAGGGGATCTTTCCCCTGAAATATTGTGGATACTTGAAGAAAGAGGAGTCGGATATCTCCACTCTACTTTTATTTTGGATTGTCAATGTGTTGTATTGGAAGAGAAGCATGCTAGACTAGGACTGGTGAAATGTCTGGGGTGTGAAACTATGTAGTCATATTTCGTCCCTCATGAGATTGCCGGCTATCATGAAATACATTCACATCTATTTTGTGGTTCACACAGGGAGTGTATTTCCTTGTTGACTTTTTTGGTTTTCGAGGGGATTGAGGGAGCCCCTTAGTCCTCTGAGTGTTATAAAAGAATCGTCTCCCATGAGGAAGATAATATTTGGTCATAAATTTCATACTTCTTTATGAGCGTCATATATTTTCTTGAAGGTCCTCCTTTTTTCTCATTTGTTACTTGCCATGAAACTAAATGAGGATTGAAATTAGAAGGTAGGTTTGTGGAAGTAGGCAGGGTGATCTTGGGTCGTGAGAACTAGTATTGTTAGAAAATGATCCTAAGATCCTTAATTGCTGCTTGGGCTTTGTCCATAATGTATTTTTGAGCTGGAACATTTCTTCATAGCAAAGCTATGGTGACGCAATGAGCTTCGTTGTAATCCACTTTAGTATGCTATGGTTGATGCAATATGCCATATAACATTAGTCTCAAATAACCCAAGGACTACCAATTGGTCTCAAATAACCGAAGGAGTGCTCCGATGTCAATGTTCTTGATCTATTGGTACCAATCCACGTGTAGAGGTCTTTTTGAGTGTTTTAGAATTTTAAAGAACTTTAAAAATATTGTTTTGAACTTTGTTTATGCTCCTATGATTTTTAAATATTTTTTCAGAATTTTTTAAAAATTCTATGCGCTTAAACCCTAAAAGGGGCACCTTGGAAATTTTAGAAGTTAGGAGGGGCAAGGTGGGACCCATGTGGAGGCTAAGGGCCCAGCTCCCACACGTTGGGGACCACCCATATGGAGTGAGCCTTGGGGACCACAAGGGCCACACACCCCACACTAGGTGTTACGCCCCCCTCGGAGAGGGCGGAGGTTTGGGAAACCTTCCCTAAGACATTTTGTGAGATCTTTTTGTTAGTTTAGTTGGTTGAAAATATATCTTATGACTTCGAATTTTGACTTTTTGGCTTTGAATTGGATCTTTATGTTGATTTTGATTTCCAGATGAGTAAGAGTCCAAATTATATTGGACTATGGAAGATCTCGTTCTAGTCAAACTAAAAGCAGATATGGGTTAAAGATTCAAGGGATGAGGTTCCTAGCTTCCTTCCCAAATCATGATTGTTGATTTTAGAGATTGAGAACTATGATTTGTTTTTCACCTCACAGATTAGTTAGGACTGCGAAGGTCAAACTGAATCCTAATTGTAAGGGGAATACCCTAAGGGTCATTAAGGCCTGTATAAAGAGGGTTCTCCCTTCATTCTCAGCACTATTACCTTTAGACCTCTTCTTTCTACTCCTCTCTCTGTCGTCCATGCTCTCTCTCTCTCTCTATAGGTTTCGTTCTCTTCTTTAGGGTGGCAGGCCACCACCCAAGGAGCCTAAGGTGGCATGGACCACCTAGGTGAAGGAGAGGGGGTACACTCGGCCCTATCTTGTTAAGGAGTGGTGCCACATTGTATCATACCCCAAGGGATTAAGAAGGGTAAGTGAGACCCTAATTTTCTAGCCTATGCTCTCAGCCATATAGTTTTGTGATAGGGTATTCTAGAGGTGCTTCCCAATTCAAAGGATTCAACAAGACCAAGGGATCAGAGTTCACTATCAGTTTGATAATCAGGTATGGGGTGTGCTATGTCCCTACGGGGTAGCCCTAGGCAAAGGTACAGTAAGTCTTCCCTATTTTTATTTATCAACTTCATTTTTTCGGTTCTTGAATCATATTTGTTCTAGAGGTTCTAACTATAGTTACTCGAATCGTTTATGAGGGTAGCGATTCCTTTTCAGAATCTCGATTCGACGTTTTCTCGGGCGAAAGTCAATTCTAAAAGAAAGGAATCACATTTTCATTTTTGCGGAATGCGATTCTACTTAGTTTAGGAATCTCGATTCTTGGATTGCCGGAATCAAGATTCCATATCGAGGACTTTATGATTCTTAGCTACACTAGAATGCGATTCTGCTTGTCAGAAACGTTGATTCCAAATTTTTTGGAACTGCAAATCTATGTTATTTGGAATCAAGTTTCTATATCGCAAACATCGTGATTCCTTGCTACACAACAATGCGATTCTACTTATAATAAACGTTGATTCAAAGAATAGGAAATTCAATTCGTGAAATAAATAATATAACATAAAGTAATGCGAGAATAGGAACTTCAAGTCTTCAACTAATAATATAACATGAAAGTAATGTGAGAATAGGAACTTCAAGTTTTCAACTAAATAATATATAACATGAAAGTAATGTGAGCATAGGGCGAGCAGAAACCCTCTGCTGTGTGCTCAATCATGAGTGAGCACGACATGTATGAGAGCGTGAGAGAATTTGAAGTTGTTGCGCACGATAATAAAATCAAAATTTAAAATATGGGTAATATGTTAAATTTTTTATTTTCTTATTTAGTAATTTCTATCCTTCATTCCATGTTACTTTTTAAGAACTCTTACCAAGAATAAATAATACTAAAAAAATATGTTACTTCAAATTTAATAATGTTTGGTAAATGGTGTTAGTACTAAACTACTAATGTAATAATGTTTAATATATGATCGGCACCGTCATTTCTTCAAGTTGAATAAGAGGATAAAAATGCTTTTCTTTAAGTAGAATAAGAAGATAATGCGGATGAGCGAAGTGCCCTGTGTGGTGTTTTAGGTTAAATTAATCATTAAATATAAGAAAAATTGATTAAAAATCGAATAACTCAATTTTCAAAAGTCAAAAGACTCAAAACTACATTTAACAAAGAAGAATTACTATGTCATGTACTTATTTTATAATTCAATGAAAGGAGATATAGGAAGCGCGCCCTTGTTCTCACTCTTTGTGTGCCGTAGACTAGCTCCAGACCTTGTAGGCATAATAGGGTTATCGGTAGACCAGGTCCATTGTATGGGATTGTCCACAAATATATCATAAAGGTTGACATTAGTACTTGGAGTCTTGGACTGAGTATATACGGACCAAAATTTGATCTTGTAGTAATGGGTGAATTTATATAGTTTCTGAATACTTCTCTCAGATACTAGAGCGAAGTGGTTCGCAATTCTAGTAAGGGGAGAATCTTGATTCCAATATGGGGAGAATCACGATTCCGGAATGGTGAGAACGTTGATTCCAAGTTGATGGGGAGAACGATTCCAGAAGTTTAGGAAGCACGATTCCTTATTTTTAGGAATCACGATTCCATATTTTTAGGAATCACGATTCCAATATAATCGAATCACAATTCCAGCAACCACCGAAACAAGTGGGGTCACGTGTGATTCCATATGGGCATGCGCGATTCCAACATAGACATCGATTCTTGCAAATAGGAAACACGATTCCTAATTTTTTGAATCGCGAGTCCAAAATAGTGAGAATCATTTTTCTCAAATCCGAATTGTACGGACAACGATTCTTAGATTTCGAAACTTCTAATACACGCGATTCCGCGATTCCAATTCCAGTAACGATTTGGAATCACAAACATTTCCAACAACTATAGTCCTAACCTACTTGGACTAAGGCTCCTACGTAGATTAAAATTTCTAGTCATATTAGAATTCATAGTGTAAGTTTGAATGCAGTTTTGAATTAAAGTTTTTGGCAATAGGAGTTAAAGATCCTCAATGTAGTAGGTTCATTTCTGCATTGTTTGTGGCAATTGTTAAGTAGAAATTCCAGTTATTAATGAAGAAAAAGAGAAAATTATGAATTTGTACTTTGAAATTCTACCTTGCCGTGCCTTTCACATGCTACAACGAACGTGCTGGCCTCAATAGAAGTTTTTCACATTGAAGTTTAGGTGAAATATTTGTAGTTGTTGAAAATATAGTTGTTACCACTTTTGGAAAAAAGGTAAAATACATAGTTGGTACTTTTCTAATTTGCGATTAAATTTTGATCACTAGTATTTGAAGGAAGTTTCTTGCGTATGCTTTTGGTGGTCAGTTAACCTCATGGTTTGTTTTGGGAATTTGCTAAATTTTATCTTCTCGAAAAGTGCTCCTTCCACTGTTAACACTGTATTTTGTTGTTTCACAGGTTCCGGCTCGAATTGAAAAGCTTATTGCTGAAAAGCAGTACTATGCAGCTGTTCAACTGCATGTACAGTCGACATCAATGCTTGAGAGAGAGGGCCTTCAAGGGGTCAGTTGCCACCTATTGTGAACCTGGTTTTGAGCCTTCAACTAACTTTTCTGTTACTTTCAGTAAATTTTTTGGTTGAATAGGTTCTTTCACTTCATGACTGTGAGTTGTGGAGCTTAAATAAGTGAACTAAATAATATGATGAGATCAAAGATGGAACCCTGTTATTGGAATTTGTTCAGAAACGAATTTCTTTGGCTACTAAAGGTTAAGAATTCTATGAGCTTAGACGCTACCTTATTTTTACTGTCCTAATAGATGATAAATTTTATTTTTAGTGTTCTACTAGATGATATTTTCCACCTATTTTACTGTATTTCTATGCTGTGTTCACAACACAGTAAAATGTTCTTATTAGGCATTAGTAATGTCTTTATCGTGTCAAATCCTTGTATAATTATTGTTGACTTTCATGATAAATAAACTTCCATTTTATGTTTGTTCGTTTAATTGTTTAATATGCTTGTTAAATTGAGACAGTTCTATGGATGATTAGTAATAGCATGACTTCATTCTGAGATGATTGTGATTTTCTTTGTCAGCTTCTCTCTTGTGGAGTTGTGAGGCAAGAGAATTTTGCTTTCCATGCTTTCCCCATGGCCTAAAGCACAAAGATTGGGCTTTTTGATGGGAATTACGACCATGCATTGAAAGCCTTACATTGCGAGATCAAAGTTCTTCCTCAATTTTTAACATAGGAGGAACTGAGACAAGCACTTGAACAATCGTGGCCTAAAAGAATGACTAGGCCTAATGATTGACCTAAAAGATTGACCAGGCCTAATGATATATCAGAATATCTCACTCTTGTGTTAAAATGATGCTAAAGCGAGTGAATCAAACACAAAGTGGTGATGATGATGATAGCTTAAAAGTTTATGGAACGTGAAGATATGGCAACAAAAGATGTCTATTAAGAACCATACTGAATGTGATAGAAGAAGCATTCCACTCCACAGTCTTGAGAATGTTTTCTTAATCCCTAACTCGACCAACTTAGTATTTCTGTTCTAAATCTTGATCACCTGAGATTTGTATCAGCGTTCTGGGGTAGCCTTTTTTTATGGGGTTTCAGATACGTGATTTTAGAATTATATGAATTCTTAGGGCTTTTCTTCCTTATATCGAGAATAACTCAGCGGCTTCTAACATGGCCCTCTGTAGTATTAGATTCTGACTCATTTTTTACGCTGTAATTTGTGGATTAGTTGTTTCTTTGACAAGTTTACGAGTGTGATTTTGTGGTGGGATTTGATATGTTCCATATATTGGAGACATCACCCTGCAAGACCAAACCCTCGGATATGTTTTTTATAGTATAACCACACCAGTTCGCACTAGATAAGGCATCATATGGCCTGAACATGCCCCATTAGTTGTATGGTTAGATGGGCCTTATGAACTTGGTTTGAATGTTTTGTTGGGTTATGCTTCAATGGTTGTTTAGAAAGTGTTGTAGGCTCATTTTTTTTTTTGAGAACTGTTAACTTTTGTATTGAAAAAGAGAGAGAGATATACAAGGTTATTCCAGGAAAATCTTAGAGAGTCTCCTGGTAAAAAAGAATAGGTCAGAAGATCGTATATAAAATGGGGATATAGATTTTCCCCTTACATCTTATTTTGTACATGTACAAGAGACAAAGAGACGAGAAAGAGAGGGAGAGCAAAAATCAAAAGCCTTGGCAAAAGGGACAGCCGGTTGTGTGGGTTGGAGAAGAAGAGGACCCAAACAGCAGGCAGCCTAGAGAGAAGGGCGTGGCTAAGCTACTTCATGTGCTGAAGCTCCATCGTTAGCCAGCAGATCGGCGAGAGCCCGTTCGATGTCCTCGAGATACGAGTCCATGATACTGTCATCTCCCTGCAAAGGTAGTTAATCTCATAAAAAATGGATAAAAGGTACCAAGGTGGGGTTCCCTGAAGCCCAAGAAATGATGTTCTTTACATCCCCCTCCACCATGAGGGAATGACCCCAAGACTGATCGAAACATTGTAGGCCTCTAAGGAGAGCCATAGATTCTGCGAACTGGGAGTCTTGTAGTCCAAGATACTCAGAGAATGTGAAGAGTATGGTTTGGTTGTGGTCCCTGAAGACCCCACCTGCCCCTGCATGGCCCGGGTTGCCTAAGGAGCAGCCATCAAAGTTCAGCTTGATCGAGCCTTGGGGAGGACGAATCCATGAAGATTTAACCTTGTTTTTCTTGGGGTTGTGTCGGAGGATGTACTCCTAGTTGGTGACTCTCAGTTGGTGAGGAAGGAGTCTCTGGAAATACCATTAAAGAGGGGGAATTGGGACGCCCAGAAGGTTACTAAGGAGGTAACCTTGACAAAGAGCACAGTGCCTGGATGGAACTCCCCTCTAAATATGCCGGCATTTCTTTCTATCCATAGGGTCCAGATTGTAGCAGCCACTGTAGCTTTCCAGAGGATCCTCCCAGCCTTGGGCCAGTGCGCAATGAAGTTAATCGCTAAAAGGTCCTTGACCAATGAAGGAATAACCAAATTCAACCCAAACAGTTGAAGAATTGAACTGCATAAGTCATGTGCCACTTTGCGCAATAAAAATAAGTGGCTGTTCGATTCCTCTTGGGACAAGCACATAATGCACCTATTTTGAAGGGAAAGACCTTTCCTTTGTAGTTGGTCCACTGTGAGGGCCTTGCTTGAGCATGCTATCCAGTTGAACATTTGCACTTTAGGGGGTGCAATTGAATGCCAAACCTGAGAAAGGACCGAGGTGGGATTAAGAGGGAAGGTGGGTGGTTGGGAGAGGAATTTGTAGAAGAGAGCACAGAGAAATCCCCTGACAGGTCAGGGTCCACACCAACTTGTCGCTACCTTGAGAAGGGATAAAGGTTTTAGAAAGTAAGTTCGAGAGGGAGACAAATTGAGAAGTTTCTAAGTCAGACAGGTTCCTTCTAAAGGAAGGGCTCCAATGCCTTCTACCTCCTTCGATCATGAACTCATCCTCTACGGTTGCCTCTATATTATAAGCCAGTAAGAACAATTCTGGATAACAGTCTTTAAGCAAGGCTTGGCTTATCCAAAGATCCGTCTAGAAATGTACTCTATTACCCGCTCTAGGCTGGAGTCTGACCTGTTTTCTGAAAGGCTCAAGAGTGGCAGTCAGGGATCTCTAGACCCCTGATGCATTAGACTCTAGTATCTGGTAACCAAGCTTGAGCTGGGACCTTATACTTATGGCGAATGACCTGCACCCATAGGGAAGCTGGTTGAATAGCAAGGTGCCACCACCATTTCCCCAGAAGGGCTAGGCTGTGTCTCCTTAGGTTCCTAATTCCCAAGCCCCCTTGATTCTTAGGTAGGAGAACAGAATCCCAGGAAATAAGATGAAGCTTGGTTTTCTCTGCTTGGCTAGACCAGAGAAAATTTCTCATAAGCTGCTCCAGTCTATTGGCCACCGAAGCCGGCATTTGGAATAGCTACATCATGTAAACTGGTGCATTAGATAAGGTGGCTTTGATTAGGGTGGTCCTACCTGCTTGAGACAAGTACCTACCCTTCCAACCAGCAAGCCTTCTATCCACCTTATCCGTAACATGTGACCAGTGGCACTTTTTTGGTTTCCCAAGTCCAAGGGGGAGACCCAAGTATGCGGTAGGGAGGCCCTCCACTTTACATTCCCATCAAAGGATGAGATCTCTGATGTGGTAGGTAGGGATGGCCACCCCCATCATTATCGATTTTTCCATGATTACCTTAAGCTGGAAGCATTTGAGGACGGTTCTAAGATTATCCACCTCAGAGGGGGAGGCATCAAGAAACACTAAAGTGTCATTTGCATACTGCAGGTGTGACACAATAGGCCCCCTCCTAGATGGCTGGAAGCCCGAAAGCAGGCCAGCTTGGTATAGCCGATTAAGGGAACGGCTAAAGACTTTCGCTGCTATTACAAATAGGAAAAGGGAGATAGGGTCCCCTATCGGAGGCCTCTTGAGGACTGGAAGTATCCTTTGGGGTTCCGTTAATCTGGATAGAAAACCAGGGTTGGGAGTAACACCCCTTCATCCAATTTCTCCACCGGTCATTGAAGTCCATAAGCAATATAGTCTCATTTAAAACCGACCAGTTAACGTGGTCGTAAGCCTTTTCCCAGTGGATTTGTGAGAGAATCTATTTTCTTGTTTATTTTGGTGTCACTTGAGATTGGATTGGCCTTTGAACTGGTGGGAGCAACAGTTCTACGGGATTGCTTGAACAAACCAGTTTTCATTCAAATTGCTCAATTCTAAAATAAATTATTAAAGAACTCAGAAATAAAAATAAATAAAAGAAAATCTTAAAATAGAAAAGAAGCTGGAAATTCTAGAAAAGTTTCAAAAAATAAGAATTTTGAAGGAACAATAAGCTATTATATCATAAATAAGCAAGGTTGAAAGCCAAGACTTAATAAACAAAAAGTCTAAATTACAAAATAGCAAAGTACACATCACATGAAGAGCTCTTCACTAACTCATTAATCAATGAATATTGAATCTGAATCGAACTAAATGAGCCAATGCCCCTCTGTTCTGGTCCGGGCTGGGCCCGAGCCAACCCTAGGGATTTGGGCTGAATGGAAGTAGCAGTAGCACTTGCAATATGTTCTTTCTCTCTCCTCCTAGGTTGAGCACAGACTGGGTCTCCTCTTTTTTATGGAAATTAAATGTCCCTCTTTGGGTTGGGTATGGATTCTCTATCTTATTAGCAGTTACTTGCCATCATAGCTTTTCACTGTCATGATTCTCAATGCTTTGTTTTATTTTGTATCTAACATGATGGGGAACCTAGGCTAGTTGCAATCTTGTGAGCCAAATGCTTCTTGATTCGGTGCATGCTTCATTACTTTATTGTTGTCTTGCAATATTTACGAACATTTTCATACTTTTCACCATTTGGAACTATTACTTGTCCCCACATCTTTGTTCACTTTGTTAGACCCAGATGAACATTTTTTTTTTAATCAGCGAATTTGTCATACGATCTATCACACATAAACTAACACCAATTGCACCAACTTCGGCCATATTGTTAGGATCAGGAACGGGATTGGGAGTGGGGGATCGTGAAAAGCTAAAAGATCTGTATGGTTGTGATTTGGGAGCGCCATTTCTATAACTCATATGAAGGGGGTCGAGATCTCCAATTGTTAAGGGATCTTGATACCAACCTTTCTAGGATATTAATCCCGACCTTTTGGGATCTCGAGTTCAACGTTTGGGGGATCCTGCTTCCAACCTTAAAAGCATAAAATTCAAATCCCTTGAAGATCTCTTTCCTTGAGCATTGCAGCAAGATTTTGGAGTAGGATTGCTACCAAGGTTGGGAGATCCTAACATCCAAGACCCACACCACCATTTAACAAATTCTCCACTCAAGATTTGAAACTGCCACCACCACCAATTCAGCATTTTCCAACAAAAAAACAACCACCATATGCAAGTGCAACAATCCAATGTAAAACATTAAGACACACACACACACATGTTGCAAGCCTTTTATTTGTAATACATATAGGAAATTCCAAATATAAATCATGGACTTATAGGAAAATAGATATAAATTATTAAAAGTTAAAAGTCTTAAGTTTTAGGAAAACTTACACTAAAACCCCTATATTTCCTCTCCCATATTCCAAAATCCACCAGAAAACATCAAATATAAAAAAAGAACCAAATAAACACTAAAATAAACCACTTTGACATCAATTGCTCCACAAAATATTCAAAAACAAAAAAGAATGAACACAAAATATATTGATTATTTTGTAATAATTGCAAAATACCAAAATCCAACAATATCAATTAATATCATAATGAAAGAAAAATATCAGAATTCAACCGAAAATATCTTACTTAAAAAAATAAAAATAATTACTACAATAAACCCAATAACCCACTGTAACACCCATATTTCCATTCAACATGAAAAGAAAAAAGAGAGAATGAACTAAAAAAACCCGAGATACTGAGTATCAATATCTTAGAAATATACGAAATCCACCAAAAGCCTATACAATATTCAACCCAGAATGCCATAATAATCTCTGCAATAAACCCAATGTCACATCCCTAGAATAACCCATTACATTGTTTTAAAAATTTTCTTTTTCCAAAATCCCTTTGAAAACCAATTTGTTTTTAAATTTTTTGAAATCTAAATCAAACAAAGCCAACAATAAATGTCATATTTTACTTTAGAGGCTGATGGAGTCCCAAAGATGTGGCCTGAAATGTCCCGAAGGTCGCTAAAAAATGGTTCAAAAGCAAAAATGCGAAACTTTCTCTCTTCTCTAAATATTGTAGATTTAAGCCCCAACACTAGCTAAAACAACTGCTAATATTGGCTCCAAAGCAAAGAACCTAGTACTGCATGTGTAGGGATATGTGTGTCCTATTTTAACTGGTCAAACTGGCCTGCTCATGCATCAAACTGAATGTGGTTCAATACAGGTTCACTATTTTGGCACCCCTAGTCCTAGTGCTAGGGCCTTCGGGTTGCTAGTTCGGTTGGTTAGACTTGCTTGTCCGGTCTGGTTCTAATATCACGGATTTATTTAGATGGACTTCTGGTTGTAAGTGATGATGATGTTACTATTGTGGGACTCTTAGTCCTAGCGGTGGGGCCTTCGGTTTGCTAGTTCGGTTGGTTGGACTGGCTTGTCTGGTCTGTTTCTAATATCACTGATTTATTTAGATGGCCTTTTGGTTGTAAGTGATGATGATGTTGCTTTATCTTATTTAATGCTATATTTGCAGCGATGGTTCTATATGAACCTTTTTGTATTTTTGGCAGTTAAGATCAGTAATAGCCAAAATTGGAAGTATAGAACCAGTGAAAGGATAGAAAAATGGAAGGAATTCGTGAGGAGAGGGGTTGGGAAGGCTGAAAGTGGGGACAAATCAAAATTCTAGGGAAATGAAGCATGTATGAACTTCAAAAGTTTGCAAGGAATGTTTCCAAAGACTAGACCTAACCATAGTATCGGTGTTCTGTAAGCATTGTGTATGCCTCTAGTGACATCTATAATACATGTGGACCAAAAGGTATATTCATGAAAGTAGGATATGCTATATTCACATAATGAACTAATTGGCACACACATGATTCTTACAAAAAGAAAGTTATTTAGTTCAAAAAGTTATTTTTTGAGATGAGTTTCAGCTCTATAAGTGGAGTGTGACATTCATTGAAATTTGATTGTAACATTAACATTCATCCAGTGGTTAACAACATGGTCTTCGCTTTGGACTCTGCTCAGTCCAGATCTGAGTCTATTGAGTAAATCTTGGCCAATTCTTGTAGACAAAGAGAAGAAAACATTGAAACTTTGCTATGTCTCTTAAAACTTAATTGAGACTTGTTGGGTTGCTGGGGCTAGTTGGCATGGGGGAGTCCACAGGCCTGATTTGGCTCTCCGAGTTTTGAAGCATTGAGTCAATCAAAAGTAAAATGAGTTCACTTTCATAAAACCCATTGTCTGGGTGTAATTGGTGCCACGAAAATCTTAGAGGAATCTAGATAAGTATTACCTATGGAGGACTGGCTCTTTTTTTTGGGTATAGTGGAGAACCGGTTCTCAAAGTTAAAATATGTTGGAAACAAGTCCAGAGGATCTGGAAATGGTATAGGATGAGATAAGCAGGTCTTAAAAGATATTTAAGTTTGGGAGAGACCTATACTCAAATAGGTGCTGGCTCGGCCAAGAATGAGACCAGCTGTCAAAAGCAGGACACATAGAAAACCTGTGCCGATGAGTACACAACTTTCTCTGAGACATGTTCATGGTAGAAAAAGTTACTCAGATCAACCTTGTGAAGTTAAAAATGGGGTAAAGTGATATTGGAATTTCGTCATGGTGTTCCAGAAGAGAACAAGTCTGTAATACCCTGGTGAACCCTAAGCCTAGATTCATAGCCTGTCCAATACCCAAGGGATAAACTCTAGAAGTCTAAGGAATCTTGTGGATGGGTATTGATCTCTTGGGTGTAAACTCTAGAGGGTTAAGGGATCTTTTGGATAAGAATTTATCCAAAAGTTGAATTTAAATGCATGAAAGCTGCATTTTAAGTTTTCACTGCAGTAGTATGGAAATTTTGTTTGTATCTCTTTAAGCCATTTTGGCTTAAGTTGTGGATATTCGGTGGTTCTCAATGTTTTTAGGATTGTATGACACATGAAAACGGATAAGTCTCGGACTGAAGTCAAAGTATTGAAGAGGATCCAACTGCAATAGTGCCGGTGAAACTTCAAGAGAACTCAGCCTAGAATGGTCCAAAACAATCTCAAGTTTGATTAAAATGATCTTCTTGATGTGATCTTTCATCATTTTGATGTGATCTTTCATCCTACAAAATGATCTAGATCAGATAAACAACCATTTGGAAGCGATTCAAACGCAAACCTTTGGTTTAAATCATTAAATTCGAATTTAGATAAGTTCAATTGGAATTGGATAAAATTTAAATCATCCAAATCTTTGTTGGATTTGAAAATGAACAACCCAAGATCAACTAATGGTAAGTGGAGGTTTATCAACATCAACCAATTTCTCAATGCAACTATAAAAATACTTTTCTGCACTCAGTAGAGGACCTTCTAGCAGATTTTTGAGAAAACTCACATAAGAGCAGCTCTAAGCTTCCCCTCACAACATCAAGAATATACTGATACCTGCCTTTTTCTCAGCTAGGTAAGTTTGGCGGGGCATATTTTCTGTTCGTTTGGTCTCTGTGATGTGTCTGAACCTTTGAACAAAGGTTTGATGCTTGTAACAAACAAGTTTGGATGTAAATGAAACAAGTTGCTTACGGGCGCTTGGAACTCCTCTCCGAACTCAAAATTTAATGAAAAGCTTCTTATCTCAATACCATTAGATGTCAATTTGGTTCCTCTGTGGTGTTTCTTCTCTGCTTTTAACCTTTGGAGTCTATCTTCATCTTTTCGTTTTCCTGAAACACATTTTGGGCAAATCACCCATTGAACACATAATAAAATTCAGTTGTTGCATGTCCTTCGCTAAAATCAGCACACACATTCTTTAATGAAAAAGATAGCTTTGTAACTTGGAACAATTATGTAAAACCAATTTCAATGTTTCAGCACATGGAATTATTTATGGTTTTGAAGTTTTATATAAGTTCTTGGCTTCATATACAGATTTATGTTGAGAATTTTGGGAGATTTCTCTTGCATTCACAATGTTGAAATTCATCGGTTAAGATTAGTGTTTCATGGGAAAACTCATTTTCTTTCTTTTTGTTCTTGAATGAAAAAGGTTAAAACTGGATTAGGGTTTATGAAAAGCCAATTGGTGTTTATTCAAGACTACTATTCTGAAACCAATTGATATCTGCTCGAGACTGCTAGTTTGGACACCAAGTCACCCCAAAAATTCTTAAAATTCGAATTCGGCAGAGTTTGCTATGAGTTTGCATGAAATCTGCTTTTTGTTATGTGGAAGCTGTCCAGTCTAAGAAATTTGATACCTTAAATTGAGGCTTAAATTTTCTGTAACAAGGTACTGTGCTGTATTTTGCTATGACTTACTAAAATCACAACTTCCTTTTATGCATTTGATTTTGGTGCAAGTTCCTTATTGATATATGATGGCGTGCTGTCATTGTGCTTCATTTAGGTCGGTGCTCTGCAAGACGTACGCTCTGAGCTAACAAAGTTGCGTGGAGTTCTTTTCTTTAAAGTTTTGGAGGATTTGCATGGCCATCTCTATAATCAGGGTGAATATAGGTATGCCGTTGTTTTATTGCTTTATTGGTTGTTGATTTATGTGAGTATAGATTAGTCTTCTTCAATTTTTAATGATTACGAGCTGCTTCTGAAACTCATAATTTGAACTTTTTTGTCAGTGGAAATATGTCTTGTATTTATTTGATTTCATTTGTAACAGCTTTATGCCCCTTTCTGTATATACTCTCTTGACCTTGATAGTTGAGAGTTACATGATGTTGTCTCTTCTATGTGTTTGAGTAATTCTATCTAGGTTTCCCTTGTATTGCGGATTTTTATTGTCTTAATATTATTATTTTTCACAGTTCGACAGCCACTGATGTACGTGAAAATGATGATGATGTTCCAATCAGTGCATCCATTTTAATATCCTCAAGTGGTTCCCACCCGGTATCCAGGAGAACCAGAGGATCAAGGGTAGATGGTCAGGTTGATTCTCCTTCTTTTGGTGATGGATTTCGCAGACCGGGTTCCATTGATGGAAGGTAACTAAAGTATGATATCTATTTGGTTGTTCACGTGGTTGTAGTTGGTATTTTGTTAAACTGAAAAATCTTTGGGTTTTAATTGTGTAAAGAGAAGATATTCAAATGTTTAGTCCTGCACTTTATACTCAAGTTTTTGGCTTGAATATAATACGAGAATCATGTACTTTGCATGATGAGGATTCCATATTTTGCTCTTGAAATTTATAGGTGTTACATCATTTTGTACGTTGCACCTTCAAATTGCATTGATTGCATGGCTTGTGCATTCTTAAGATTATTTACTAATATACTGTACTGTTGTTATAATTGAATGGCGCAAAAAAAGAGTGTGCAGAAAGCTGGAACTGGGCATGTATGACTTTCAGTTATTATTCTCATTTTTATTGCAAAGACTGTAGCTGTTAAAACTTCTCAAGTTATGAATGAGGTAGAACTTGTAGATGGATTATGCTCTTGGGTAAGAAAAAATTAGAAATATCAGTACATTGTGTAGCTTCTTCCACAAGCTATGCCAGCAAACAACTGCACTTGAATTTTACAGACATTCTAGGAACTGATTATGCTTTGGTATGTGTACTGTGCTCCTTCTCAGGGTTTATTTATATAATTATTGTTGCATGTTCAGCATCAGCTATGAACCTTGACATAGGTTGTTCAGAATAGTGTATCATATTTGTATGTTTGCTCCTTGATTAACATTCAATTATTACATTCACCATTATTTTGTTATCCTCAATTCATTCTAGACTGATACCATCCATATGCCGCTTTTTGCAGTTCTTCTTTTGATGGTCTTGATGATGAGAGTGTTCATCCTGTGGATACCCTTGATGGTGCTGCTTCTGAGGGTGCAGTTTCGTGGTCAAGGGTCAATGGGTTTGATGGTCACACAAAGGAGACCAGAACCTTACCTCATCAACTTCCATCCTGGCTTTCAAATTCCACCCCTAATGAATTCATTGTATGAAAATTTCTGGATACCATAGGATATGATCAGAATCAATTTCTATTTTTTGACATTTTTCTCTGACTTGTTCTAGCACTCAGTAGTCTATATGTGTATTCATGGCTTCAGGAATCCATGAAAAAGAGCGATGCTCCTCTTCATGTGAAGTATCTACATACCTCGGTAGAATGCCTCTGCATGCTTGGAAAAGTTGCTGCTGCTGGGGTCATAATCTGGTAACGAATGTTCATTATATAGAAGTAGTTCTATTTTGCCTCGTCCTTTGTTATTGCTAGTTGATGAATGAACTCCATTTTTTTTTGATAACTGTTAACATTTGATGAATGAACTCCATTGAAGTATATCCGCACGTCTGTTGCACCTTTTGAATGACTGAACAATAATATTTCTTTTATTTACCTGGTTTCATATTATTATTAATGTGCATCCATAGATGTATGTGCATTTATGTGAACACACAAATTTTATCTGAGGACTGGTATGTGTGTGCACAAGCAAACAAATGTATTTCCATATGACCCTCAATCATTATGGCCTTAACAATTTTGGTTTTGGTTCTGGGTTGTTTGTAAGCTTTTTGATCTATTAGTATTTTGCTTTGCTTATTTTATCTATTTGAATATCAGTGCAACTAGATGACGTGATTGATGGGAACGGATTGGCATATAAGTAAATCCTGGACAGTTCTAGTAATATTTGCTTTCTAACATTGGAACATGAGGGGAACTAGATGGTAATCGACATCAATATGGGAACATGAGTTTCGACTTCAAAAGTTTAATGGTCATTTCTGCATGACTTGAAAAGTCTAATAATTTTTAATTATTATAAAGATTTCTGCATGACTTTGAATCTAATAATGGGTCATACAAGCCTCGAATTATGTTTTCAAAAAGCAAGGATGAAAAAGTCGGCCGCCCGGCCACCTTGGCAGCCTGGCTGACAATCTGCCTTGGCGCAGCCTTAGGTTTTTTTTTTTTTTGGGTGGTCTGGTATGGGGGGTGGGGCCTGGGTGCACATGCCCCCTGCACCTGCCAAACTTTGTCATAAGTGCAATTTGGTGTCGAAAATTCTTTATATGTTGTGGGAATCTATGTTCATCTCTAATTATAAAATTTTAAACTCCAAAAATGGTCCAAATCAATCAGATCTATAAACGATGGACGGTCTAGATAATGTGTTGCAACATGTATTACTTTAGGGACTTGAAATCTTTTTTTTTTCTCCATATCCATACATCTCAATGTCGAGATGATCAATTATATGTTTTTCCAACATCAAAACAGCCCCTTTCGAAGGATTTTTGAGGTTTACCTTAGTTCTACATTTTAAGGTGTCAACCTTATAAATGTTTCCTTAAATTGAATAAACAACTAATTGCATTTTGGCCCCCAAAAAAAGAAAAAAAACTAAAAATCCAAAATTCTTTCTAATTTTCTAAATGTAAAATAAGCACAAAAGAAAGAAAAGTGAAATGAAAATTAAGACTGATTGATTGTTGGGATCCCAATCCGAAAGTTGTTGAATTTCGTCAAGGATTTGGGGGATTTTGTGAGCCCCGTGGTCCCGGGGGCGGGAGAGAGAGAGGGAGCCAAAGTAGCTCTCTCTAAAAAGAGACTTTACGAAGCCCAAACTCCCCAAAATATTAAATAGGACAAAAAACACCCCTAAACAAATTCATCATCATTATCATCATCAAAGCTTGTTCCCAACTATTTGGGGTCAGCTATATGAATCCTGGTATGCCATTTTGCTCTCTTAAAGACCATACCCTCAAAGAGGCCATATGTCCCCATATTTTTTCTCACTATTTTCAACCATGTCCTCTTGGGCCTACCAAAAACGATAAATAAAACTACTAAAAAATATCAAAAAATCACCCGATAACAAAAAAAGAGGTTGTTTTGGACCCCCATCTAGACTAGCAGTTCTATCTGGACCGGTCGAACTAGCTGTCCAGGTATCAAACTGGATATTCTTTGGCTTGATGCTGGTTCACTGGCCATAGCAGTTTGAAGCCGCATGACCGACTGGACAGGGTATTGGTTCGGCGCTTTCTGGTCCGAGCTGGCTAGTTTGGACCCGTCTTATTAAGCTTGGTTTACAGAAGCGTGATTGGCATGTATCATAGCGCCCTTTGCAGTCTCTTGTGTGTAAGATTGAAGAGAACACTGAATATCTTGCTTGAACTATTTTTTTTTGAGAACTGTTAACTGTTGTATTGAAAAAGAGAGAGAGAGAGATACAAGGTTATTCCAGGAAATTCTTAGAGAGTCTCCTGGTAAAAAAGAATAGGTCAGAAGACCTTATACAAAATGGGGTTATAGATTTTCCCCTTACATTGTATTTTGTACATGTACAAGAGACAAAGAGACAAGAAAGAGAGGGAGAGCAAAAATCAAAAGCCCTGGCAAAAGGGACAGCCAGTTTGTGTGGGTTGGAGAAGAAGAGGACCCAAACAGCAGGCAGCCTAGAGAGAAGGGCGTGGCTAAGCTACTTCATGTGCTGAAGCTCCATCCTTAGCCAGCAGATCGGTGAGCCTGTTTGATGTCCTCGAGATACGAGTCCATGATACTGTCATCTCCCTGCAAAGGTAGTCAATCTCATCAAAAATGGATAAAAGGTACAAGGTGGGGTCGTAGTCCCTGAAGCCCAAGAAATGATGTTCTTTGCATCCCCCTCCACCATGAGGGAATGACCCCAAGACTGATCGAAACATTGTAGGCCTCTAAGGAGAGTCATAGATTCTGCGAACTGGGAGTCCTGTAGTCCAAGATACTCAGAGAATGTGAAGAGAATGGTTTGGTTGTGGTCCCTGAAGACCCCACCTGCCCCTGCATGGCCCGGGTTGCCTAAGGAGCAGCCATCATAGTTTTTCCTGAACTATTGTAAAACAAAATTTGGGGCTTGCTTGAATTAGCTGATGATTATTACCTTTATAAGGTTGGTACTTTGTTTATGTACTAATGGATAGTAAGTATTGAGGTTCTTCTTGCCCAAATTATGAGTTGAAATTAGGACAATGTCTGTAATATTGAACTTCTCTTGTCCTTATTTTCTCGTGGTTATTTTGTCATTTTCGTATTTAGACAGATGGATGATCTTTTTATTCTGTACTTGGGTCAAACTCTTGTATTTCCTAAAGTAGTGGTTTAATAACAATATTGATTTTGTCATAGTTAGATCAACTAGATATAGTTATTGCATTGGTAGTCAAACTTGATAGCTTTTGTATGCATGCTGAGTTTTCTGTGCTCTCCCAATGCCAATTTTGCTCTTTGACAGTCAAAGATTGCGGCCGACTGTCCAGGAGATTATCACATCCAAAATCAAAGCTCAAGCTTCTGTATTTAAGTCATCAAGGTTATGCAAGGATCGGGAGTCCCAAGCTGCCACTCCAGTTGTAAAGTACTCGAAGGGAACAATCGTGGAAAACTACATAGCTTTGAAGCAAAAGAACTCAAGTAAAATGTCGCCCATGGGTGCTCTATGGGCTGTTAGTCCTGTTTCACAAGCAATGGCTCCCACTGGTGCTGCACAGGCTGCTTCACGTGAACTTTTGGATGGTGTTCTCGATACTATTATTCGAATACTAGGTAAGAAATTCCTGCTCATGAGTTGACTGACCCATACCAATTTTGGTTAGCAGTTGGGTTCATTGCTTACTTCTACAAATTGTGCAACAAACAGAAAATCATGTTCTAGTTGGTGAGCTTTTGGAGTCACGATTAGCACAGAAAAATGAAAATCCAGAGACAATCAATGGTGATATAAACTGGAGTCCTGATTCTGAAGCTTCACAGGTTACGGGAGGCTATAGTGTGGGATTTGCATTGGTTGTCTTACAGGTAAATATTTATGTTTAGATCATTTTGATTCTTCTAGGGCTTGATCATCCTTTTACTGCAGGATACTATCCTGTTATTAAAGTACTCATTAATGGTTTTCTTCACTTTTCTGTTGTTTGGGTTGACTTTGGTTGATGTAAAAAGAGTGAATGCCAACAACTCATATGTGAAATTCTGCGGGCAACTCCGGAAGCTGCATCTGCAGATGCTGCTGTTCAAACAGCCAGGCTTGCAAGCAAAGTTCCTTCCAAGGATACAAAGTGGGTGCTAGTCATCAGCTTATTGCTTCAGAATTAGTTGAATCATATATTCTTCTTGCCATAGCTTATTTTTGGACTTTTTGTTTTGTAAATGAATTACTTTATTTGTCTTGGTTCACCTCTTCTCATAAATACAAACCTGACATGACTTGTTCTTTGGCAGTTCCTAATTTACTGTTTAACAAACACGGAATGATGAAAATGTGAAGGAAAGAATCAATGCAAGCTGTCACTAACACATTCTCTATTTATAATTTAGCAGTTAAAATTTCTGTTGATCCTGAAGATTATGAAATCTTTGTAAACCTAATGACTGATTCTGACAACTTATTGTTCCACAGTCTAGTGCCTTCCTCTGATTGAGATTTAAAAATATTCAGAGCATCATAGGCATCAATATGAAACATGGAGAAGGCGTTAACACTATTATCATTATCCTTTAAGGCAATATTTTCATGCTTTAAGTGCTTGTTCACATGCTGAAATTTGAAGCATCTAAAACTTACATATGATCCGCAATAAATTTAACTAAACATTTAGGTGGGGTTAAGGCTCTGTTTGTTAAATATCCCCTGTAATTTAGGATGTTTATACATCGTGGAAAGCAAGACTTTATATGGCAGACCACATAATTGGGTGTTTGGTATGGGTTTGATCGGCATGTTGGCCTTGCTTTTATGGTAATGCTGCTTTTTGCAATGTATGCAAGACCATTGAAAAGGTTTTTTACACTTATGCCGAGTAGGGCAGTTTTGTGCGACAACTTATGCCCTATACATAAACAAGCCCGTACTATCATCATCATCATCATCGTCAAAGCCTTTTCCCAACTAATTGGGGTCGGCTACGAGAATCTTGGTCCGTCATTCTGCTCTATTAAGGGCCATACCCTCAGTGAGGCCATAAGTTCCAATATCGTTTCTCACAACTTCCAACTATGTCCTTTTAGGCCTACCCTTTGCCCTATTTGAGCCTTCCACTTGAACTAACTCGCACTTTCTAATAAGTGTTGTACTGTGTCTACACCACACATGGCCAGCCCACCTAAATCTACTTTTTCTCATCTTATCACCTATAGGTACCACGCCTAAATTCTCCCGAATGTATTAATTTTGAATTCTATCCCTTCTTGTCGTGCCACTCATTCATCTCAACATGCTCATCTTAGCTACACTCATTCTATGGGTATGTTGTTTATTGACTGCCCAACATTCTAGCCTATAAAGCAAAGCTGGTCTCACTATTTCCCTATTGAAACCTGCCCTTCAGCTTCATTGGTATGCAACGATCACATAAAACTCCAGTTGCTCATCTCCACGTCGCCCACCCAGCTCTAATTCTATGTGTGACATCTTCCTCAATCTCTCCATTTTCATGGATTATTGACCCAAGATATCGAAAGTGTGCTCTTTTGCTGTTTATTGGCCATATAATTTAATTACTTCCTCGTCTTTACTCGTATTATTACTAAGCTTGCATTCCATGTACTCTGTCTTAGTCCGGCTAGTTTTAAAACCTTCTGATTATAAAACATCCCTTCATAGTTCTAACTATGTGTTTACGCTTTTCGAGTCTCATGGATCAAAATTATGTCATCTGCGAATAACATGTACGACGATACTTCATCTTGTAGGTGCCTAGATAAGTCGTCCATATCTAAGACAGAAGTATGAACTTATTGCTAACTCCTGATGTAGATCTATTGTCTTTGAAAAACCCATTCGTCTCTCCACTAGTTGTTACTACATTAGTTAACACTACTTCATACATATCTCTCACCAAGTCGATGTAGTGTTTGGAGACTCCTTTCTTTTCCAACACCGCCTAAATTAAATCTCTTGGTACTCTATTGTAAGCTTTCTCTAGATCAATAAAGACCATATGCAGGTCATCTCCCTTTGTCCTAAACTTTCTCAATCAATTGTCTAAGTAGGAAAATAGCCTCCATTGTTGATCTCCCTAGCATAAAACTGCATTGGTTTTCTGATACATTCGTTTCATGCCTTAGTTGTTGCTCAATCACTTTCTCTACGACTTCATAAGTTTGATCCCTCGATAGTTCGCACAATTTTGTGTGACTCGTTTGTTCTTGTAAATAATGCCACAATACTTTTCCTTCATTCGTCTGACATTTTCGTTGTTCTCAACATATGCACTTCCAAACCTCTATTGGAATGCCATATGGTCCTAAAGCCTTTCCTTTCTTCATCATCTTCAAAGCTTCTTTCACTTCTGATATCCTTATCCTATGAATGTATCAATGACATCCGCCCTCATTTATGCCAATGGTTCCTTCTACTGCTATGTTCCTATTGTGTTTGTTATTTAATAATCTTTGAAAATAAACTCTCTACCTTTTGTTGACCTTTTTATCCTTCACAAAGACCCTTTGATCCTCACTCTTAAACGAGCCCTTACTCTCTTTTCCTTAAGTAAATTTTAAAATATTTTCCTTGAATAAAATATGATAAAGAGAGCCTCATAATTTATTTTAGCTTGCAATTTTATCTCGAGAGAAATGTGTAATGTGATCCTTAGGCTTCTTAAATTAAACTTCTTGTTTTGAGGTAAGTGTAGTTTATCTTATTCCACTTCTTCTTCGTCTTTTTTTTTAAAAAATATAATTATAAAATCAGTCTTCTTAACCACCATAGGTTATAAGATTTTTCCTGGGACTTTTGGACCAAATGAGTACCCCAAACCATATGGGACATGTAAATATTTTCTTTCCATGAACACTTAAGGTTTCACCCATTATAATGATCGTATAGGGTTAACATGTTGCAAGGTAAAAAAGGAACTTTTGCGCTATTTTGATATCTTGGCCATATTCTCAAAATGGATCTGCTTTCACAGGTTATATTCCCCTGGGTTTAAAGCCTTATGCATTGGGCCACCAGGGCCACATGTGCCAAGGGCCTTTATGTGGCTGGCTCACAGGTATAGGTCGTGGGAATGAAACTCATGGGCTGGCTGTGTTCTTGTGAAACACATTAGTCATTTCCTTAGGTGGGGTCCCATTGCGACAGGGCATTCATGAGCTCTATGAACCCAAGTCATGGCTAAGACACATATGCTCATGAACCTAGGCCATGTAATCTGTGGAAATTGCGGCCCAGGCTTTGGGTCTCATGAGCTCCATGTTGCTCCCAATAAGGTCACAGCGCAAGATTAACTGCTTTTTAAGCCCAAGCTTGGGTAAGGCACACATATATTATCTAAGGTTCATGCACCCACTGATGTATATGATTCAGCATTATGATGTCATTGGGTCAAACTTCCTTTTCCTCAATTTCACATGCCGTGTATTGCGTTCCTAGTTAATGGAAACAGAGAATTAACTGATTTGATGACCTTGCAAAGTACAATCACCTTTTCTTTTGGATTGTGTGTGTGTTATCACTGGCAAATAGACTTATATTTCCTTTGTTAGTTCTTTCTTTAGAGATGTTTGGTGTATTATTTCTTGAACTTTTTTATTTAGTTTGTTATATTGGCTAGGTTAAAATTGTCTTCTATGTTGCTTCAAAACAGGGATGGATCTGAGGAGGGTCTTTCTTTTGCTTTCCGCTTTACAGATGCAGCAGCTTCTGTTTCCATCCAAGGTTTGACTTGAACCATGCAATCTTATTAATGTTTGTACATATGTCATGACTGATTTTTTTAATGGCGACATCACACTTATAAGCTGGCTTCTTAGTGTGATTTCTTGGTTTCATGTGGTGGTTTGTTATAAGTCTGTTATTTTGGTCATGGTTCATTAATATAAAGTACCTTCACGTGGTCCATAGGTGTGGTAATATTTTCCATGTTGCTTTCATCTATCTAAAGGAAGTGTTCCTACCTAAATTTCTGCTTGTCACTCATCCTGTTTAAGTCATGGTGATTTTCATCTGACTATGTTTTTTATTAGGTGAGTTTTTCTTTCAACATATAGACAAAAGGAGTAAAGAATTCATCCATTCGTGCTTGTTAGTCATTGTCATCTAAATATTCTCAGTTTTCAGTTTCCTAAAATGGAGGTTAATGCATGATGGAGTTGTTTAAGTTGTTCTTGCGAAAGGTGACATTTTGAACATGAAGATTTTGAAAAGCTAAACGGTAAAAAATGATGCTGAAATTTGAAATCGTTATGGAGGATCTTCATTGGATACTATGATGCATGGTTACTTTATATTCTTGTCGTACTGTGTCAACAATGATGTTGATACAAGATACTGCTAAGATACTTGTAAATATGGAATGGCATAATTATAAGATAATATAAATAAATAATAATATGAATACATTATAATAGTATGCCATATGATATGGCATGTATGTGTAGCAATGTATTTCATGCCAGTATTTCTATATTATACATGCTGTAATATATATTTAGAGATGTGTTGTGTAAGATACTCATACTTTATATGCATCCTGTGATTCAACAAATGCTTAGCTGTATCCCTGTTCTCTCTATCTGTGTCTAGTTCCCTACCCATATCTGTGAATTGGACCCCACCTAAGTCAATCCATTGTTATCTATGTTCCCTACCCATATTCTGTGAATTGTTATCAAAATTTTTCTTTTCTATGTTGCCACTAGATCAATGAGTGTTGATGTAGGCAGAATTCGCGGAGCAAACTTCATGTCTGAAGTCAGACCTTGAGAAGTATTTTTCATCCTAGTTCGTTGGGCAAAAAATGCATAGTGGATTTTGAGTTTATGGCTTTCAATTTCCTCTATGGAATGGAGTCATAATGGTCATTCTGAAGCCAGAGTGAAAATCTATGGGCATTTGAAGTTAGGGTATTTTTAGCCAGAGTGAAAATCTATGGTTTCTAAGGATGAGTCTGTTTTTTTAATTTTGTCAAGGGCATAAATGTCAAATTTGTATTTAGTTTTGATTCTTTTTTATTTTCTCTAGGGCATAAATGTCAAATTTGTATTTAGGTTTTAGTTAGATGGTCTAATTACATTAGAATGAGGATTAGGGTATCCAAATAAGGTTTATAAACAGGGTCAATAAAATTTCATTTTTAGAGTTGATTATTGTTTCTAGAAAGTCTTTAATAACTCCATTGAATTCGTTCATTCGTTGAGCCATGAAGCTATGCTTGTTAGTTTCCATTAATTCTCAATCAGTGCGTTATGTTTCTTTGAATCCTTTTTGTTTTTCAAATTGGCATCAGTTGTTAAGAAGTCAGGCTCATCTCTTAAAGCACCCTAGAACTGCTGTATGTTGCGCTGCACTATGGTTGCTAGAGAAGGTCGAGTTGGTCGTGTTCGAAGCTGTGGAGTCGATATGATGGACGATATCAGTAAAATAATGTGGACACTAGAGGAATTGGCACATGGTGTGCTAAAACCGATTGAAGACACTTGAGGAACTATTGCACGAGTTGCATCAAGATTGATCAGATCAAGGTTCGGTTGCCCATGAAAGTGATAGATCTGAGGCTGAATTGGAGAACAATCTGTTCCACAACTAGGGAGAGATGAATCAGCTGCTCTTGAAGAGTTTTTGGTACGAGCTCTCAATTGAGGTATTAGTGTTGATGTGCCTGAATCTTTTAGTTAGTTACAGCTTGATGAATGTTTGGATTGGATTGAATTGCTAGTATTGAAACCCTCTTTGAGTGGAAAGAATTATCATAGGGGAAAAAGGTTAAATACATGGCTACCTGGTTGAAATGTCATGCTCTAATTTAGTGGCAGCAGTTGCACGCTATGGGTTAGTTAAGGAAATGACAAAATTGTGACTTGAAAGAAGATCAAGTCATGTTTTTTCCTTTTAATGCACAAGAATTATATTTGCAATTCATTATCTTCGACAAATGGATTGACTTGCAAGAGTACACAGATGACTTTTATGTATTGATGAACAATGAGGTCAAGGAGAAAGTTGATCGGCTCATTGTAAGATACACAAGTGGCCTGAAAATTAGTTTCTTGACTTGTTAATTATGCATCGAGTCTCAGTCTCAAAGAAGCATATTGGTTGGCTCTATAGGGTGAAATGAAGTTGAAGAGACCTATAAATCCCTCTTATAGTTGGTTTTTTTTTTGTTTAAGTTCAAAAGGGATGCAGTGTACATCATAAACAACGAGAGGTGATTCAAGTCCTCAGTCCAGTGAGGGATCTAAGGTAGGAAAAGGCCTAATGGTGAATAAGCCCCTTCAAGTTTGAAAGCAGGGGCCAAAGTGTTTTACAAATGGTGAGCCTGGGCATCAATCTTTTGAGTGCCCTAAGGAAGGCGTGAACACATCTATACAATGGGGATATTGATTATGAAGGTGACATTGATGCGGGCTTGTTTGTGATGGAGAGTCCAAAGGTGGCAGTGCTTTTTTGTATCCTGAAGGAGGCAAATTTCTCGTTTTTAGGTAGTGTTTATCAACCCCAAAGTTGTATAAGTGTGGTGGCTTTGAATCAGTATTTTCTGCATGAGATGCACGACCTAGGGCAAGGTGTAGATGATTGTTATTGACAGTGGAAGATGCGGCAACATGGTGTCGCTGGAGATGGTGGATAAACTTAAAAATAAGTGTGAGAACATCCTCAATCATGCAAAATCTTGTTGTACAGAAGAGGTAACAACACACCTGTTAATTCTTGTTCGTTGGCTAAATTTTCTATTGGTTAAACCTATAAATCTGTGGTCTAATGAGCTGCTTATGGATGCATGCCATATACTATCAGTTCACCCATGGCAGAATGATTATTCTAAATACACTAAGGGGAACACAATGTGTATATTTTTTGGAAGGATGCTGTTAATATTACCTTGCAACTATTAATGTTCTTAGAAAAAAAAAAAAACCTTCAAACTGTTAAAAGGACAATAATCAGCCCGAAATCAAGAAGGGGAAGGAGAGTTAAACTCTACTTAAATTGGCTTCTTGAGGTGAGTAGGAAGAAAAAGTTGTATACATTGATAGCAGATGATTCTTGTATTGATTCTATTCGTAGCCCTATTACATCTTTAATTGAGGAGTTTACTGATGTCATGCCTGAGTATTTGCCTGATGGTTTGCCTTTATGCAAGATGTACAACATTGCGTTGATTTGGTCCATAGTGCTACTCTTCCTAGCTTGCTACGTTACCGTATGAGTCCTAAGAGCAGGAAGAATTGGATCGGCAGGTAATCAATTGTTAAATAAGTGGTTAACTCGAGAGTGTTTTTAAGTCCATGTGCTGTCCCTGGACTGTTAACTCCAAAGAAAGAATGTTCTTGGCATATGTGTGTAGATAGTAGGTCCAACAGTAAGATCATAGTTAAGTATTGCTTTTGTACTTGCTATTTGGGTGATTTGCTTGATATGTCATTGGGTCAAATGTCCTTTTTCAGTTGATTTGGAAGGGCAGATATCACCATACTCGTATTCACTCTAGAGATGAGTGGAAAACAACTTTTAAGACTTTGGAGGGTTTATATGAGTGGTTGGTGATGCCATTGTGTTGTCCAATGCCCCGAGCACTTTTATGCGGGTCCTTAACTTGGTGCTTCGCCTTTTTAGAAAGTATTAAACTAGTGGTTGTGCATTATAATGATATTCTTATTTACAGTCCTAGTCAATGATTAAAGCCTTGGCTTTGCGCTGGCCTCACCTGATTATTGTACAGTCATGAAAATGCCTTAAAAAATGGGATCAGCTTACTCCTAAAATAGTGAGAAAGTTGAGGAGTTCTCATCATTTATATCGGAGGTTTATTAGAAATTTCAGCACCAATATTGCACCTATTACCAATTACATGAAGAAATGGTTATTTGAGTATGCCAAGGCAGCTGAAGAGATTTTTAGATTTGTAAAATAAAAGTTGACTAATGCTCCTTGTTTGGCATTCCCTGTTTTTGAGATCACTTTTCAGGTGAAGCGTGGTGCTTCATATGTAGCTATTGGAGCTGTCCTTAGCCAAGAGGGCATTATTCATGGGCTTCTTTCGTGAAAATTTCAATGAATCCTGGGTAAGTGTTCTAGCTATGAGAATGATTCCTATGCTATTGTGCAAGCTTCCAGGCATTGGCGCCATTATCTTATAGCAATTTATTGTTTGCAGTTGATGAGGTGCTAAAATTTTTGAATCCTTAGAAAAAATTGAATTGGCGCCATCCGAAGTGAGTTGCTTATTTGGAGGAGTTTCTTTTTGTGATCCATCATAAGTTGGGCAGCCAAAATAAATTGGCTGATGCATTAAGCAGGGGATCCTACTTGTTTGGGATTCTTCCAAACTTGGTGATTGGGATTGTAATCCTTCCACAATTTTGTGCTACTGATCCATAACTGTTGTAAGATTCTTGATCAGTGTGTGTTGGTCGGCAAGGTTCCTCTTTCTAACTATGTACTGCAGGATGATTTTCTTTTCAAATTGGGTCAGTTATGCATTCCTAAAGGTTATCATCCAATCTAGATTAGCTTTTAGTTGCACAGTTGAGGTCTTGGTGGGTATTTTGGGAGAGACATGATAATTTCATTGGTGAGGAAAACTATGATTGCTCTTAGCTCAAGCAAGTGTTGGTTTGTAGAAAGATGCATGGTTTTTCAGGTAGCCAAGGGCCGATCTCTCTGTACCAGATCGTACACCCCTCTTCCTAATTTTACTTGCCCTTGTACTAATGTCATAGTGGGACGTCCTCCATTACTAGGGATTGGCAATCTGTCTTTGTTGTGATAGAATGCTTTTTTCTTCATTTTATTCCTTGCATGGACATTTGTGATGTCTTGCTTGCAGCTGATTTCTTCTTCAAGGAGGTGGTTTGCCTTCATGGAGTAAGACTGTTACTTAAACAAAATTCGTGGTTCATTGGCGAACCCTACGGAAGAAGTTGTGCACTTGACTCCAATATAGTGGCACATATCATCTTTAGATTGATGGTCAAACTGAGGTTGTTAGCAGAAGTCTAGGGAATTCATGGATTTTTAAAGGAGCTGAAGGAGATTGATGCATAAGCAATGGAAGAAGTTACTGATTGATTAGAACTAGAGGGTGAGTTCTCTTTAACTAGGGAGACTGATGCATGCAGACTTTGTGCAACAAGCATAAGCAATGGAAGAAGTTAATGGATGATAAGAACTCGAGGTTGAGTTCTCTCTAACTAGGGAGACTGATGGATGCGGACTTTGTGCAACAATCTTCAGGGCGAACATTCAGTCCTTTAAAGGTGTTTGTCAGCATAGTTTGTTGAGACAAATCTGTGTAGCAGATTTTGGCATTGTAGGGTTTTTAGTTTCTTTCTAGAATGGCTTCATAATGGTCATTGTAATGCCTGGACAATAAGTTATGGCCATTTGATAAGGTAATGTTTGGGATGAGTCTTTATTATTTTGTTTTCTTTAGGGCAAACATGTCAAATTAGTATCAATTTTAATTGGTTCTAATTGCATTAAAATTAGGATAAGGAAGTTCGAGTAAAGTTTATAAATTTTGTGTTTCAGAAAGGGAAGCAAAGTTTATAAATACCAGTTGCATTAGGGTTTTTTATTAAGCTGATTATTGTTTTCAGAATGTTTTATAAAAATTCTATTGAATTCGCTGAATGGAAAAGAAAAGAAGGCAACCCCCCACATTTAAGACAACAAGTTCAGTTGTGTTGCAAGATGAGGCCGTTTTAAAGGTTTAGTATACTCCTCTTGTTACTTTAAGTTAATACTTACTCATCATATCATGGGACTCTATGACACTCATACTGCAGAGCATGTCTGGGTTTCCACTCATTGAAGCTTATATCTACAAAAGAAAGGACGTCAACATTATTCTAGCTGCAATTGTTGTGCCTAAGTCTTGCGTGTTATGACGTGGTGCCTGACCTCGACTCGAAGCCCAAGGCTGAAATTCCTTCATGAATAAGTCTAGCAAGTAACTCAGTTTCTTTATTGACTAATAATGGATCTTAGCCCTCTTTCGCCCTCATAATGCTTTCCTTTGATGTCTTCATAGTAAAGCAAGTGATGAGTAGGCCTCCACTGGCTTTGCTGGTTGCATCAAATTTGCTTGGGGTTCATTGTCAAAAGCCGTTGCCTGGAATCTGCTTCATGTTAGGCCCTTGTTGGTAGTGCTTCATATCAATGCATGACCGACGAAAAAATGGAGGCAGGCTGGGCTAGGAAGGAACATAATGATTGTTCGACCTTAATTTTCTGTTTGATCAAAATATCCCTGAAGGCTTTTGGTCTTTCAATGGCCTCCCCTTCATTCTTGCCTCCCCCTCGTTTCGTTCGTCCGACCTGAACAACCCCCGTCGTGAGTGACAGTGAAAAAAAAATGTGGCTGCCAAGTCGATTGCTCTCTGTAGCTCAATATGAGGTTTGGCTTACCTGCGTTTGGGTGGTTGGATGAATGATAAGTATGAGAGGTATTAAACTAATAGGGGATATCTTGCAAAAATGTCGTGATGCATCGTGAATCCTTGAGAACATAGAGGTGATGAACCCATAATCTCCACGATCCTGTGCTTGTTCCTAGCCGTACGTTATGAGTCAAAGAAGCCTCTTTGAAAGGTGGGCTTTCCGCAAGAGCCTCCCCATCTCCCCAGTCACGATATCCTGATTCGTCAAGTCATTGGGAGCCATGTTAGGGATCGAGTTGAGAATTTCTTAGAGGCATTGTGTCTCGAGGATACGAAATCTCCAGTTATAACAATCAGATTGGTAGTTGGACTTCATTGTTTCCCTTTGGGGTATCTGTGCTCCTCTATCAATGTCTAGAAATTGACTTTGTAGTATATGCTTGTCATCTCTTTATGCCCATGAAGCACACCATGCATTTGATCAATTACTCCTGCTATATTGTGTGCATAAATCAAAATTATTTTTTGTATGTATATTATGTATATGTTTAAAGTATTTTGCCGACCTAATGGACCAAAATGTAGCGTTGATCCCTCCCTCAAATTCACCACATTTGATTTGATGAGGACCTAAGAAATTCCATCATCATCATCATCTAAGTCTTATCCCAACTATTTGGGGTTGGCTATTGATCCCATTTTGCCATTCCGCTCTACCATGGCCCATACCCTTAGCAGGCAATAAGTCACTATATCATTTCTTACTGCTTCCATCCATCTCCTTTTAGGCCTTCGCCCTTTCCTTTTAGAGCCTTCCATTTGAGCAGAAACATCCCTCCTAGCCAATGTTATTCTAGCTCGATGTTTGACATTGCTAGACCACCTATGTCTACTTTCCCTCAACTTATCGTTTATTTGAGCTATGTGTTCATTTCGAATTACATCCTTTCTTGTCTTGCTCTTCATCCATCTCAACATCTTTATCTTAGCTATACTCATTCTATGAATATGTTGTTTCTTAACTGCCCATCCTTCTCTCCGCCCATGCAGTCTGTATCGGTCGGTAGATAGATCGGAGTTCTTTGTGGGGGCCGGATGTAAATGGCCAGTGGCAAGGCAAGCAAGGAGCAAAACCAGTGGTAGCAATGTCAAAGCACTCATTGATGAGGGCTTTGATGCTACGCATCTTCTCGCTCGGGCGGCTACACATCAAAGCACTGGCGACTATGGCAGAGGTTGCTCATTGCTATAGTGCTGTTGGGAACATAAGCCTAAAGAGTAGGCGTACGGGCTTACCACATTACTATCATAACATGAAGTCAAGACCTTCCCTTATAACTATACCGGTACCGACCGACCTTCGTTTTAGTATATTTGTAATATAGGTCAATGAAAGTCAAATAAGATGGACGACTATTATATTACCCACCTCTTTAGACTTTCTAAGTTCATTTAGAACCTTAGAGAAAGCTCTCTTGCAATCCTTACCTTAATGTTACCTTCTTCAATTTTTTGGATGAATTCGGAAAATGTTGTTCCTTAGGTGTTTTACTTGACTTGTTTTTGTTTCTAGGCTTCCTTTGGGACCACCCATTTATTGGTTTTTGTTCCTGGTCCTGATTTGAGGGACCACGCTCTTGTACCTTACCAGTTCAATAAAAAAAGTTGTTAACAATATCAATATATATATATATATATATATATATGAAAAATACTGAGATTAGCCTACTAGCTCATATGAACATATATGTGTTGATATGAGCCCAATGGCCTAGATTGAATCTGGGCCGATCGGACGGTCAAGACCTAATTTCGTATTTGAATTTTAATTTTTTTCTACAAGTCCAAATAATTTGAATTTTTAGACATGTCTTCTTTAAACACAGGAGAATCTAATAAAAATATTTTAAAAATAATTTTCAAGAAATAAATTGACCAAAATACCCTTGATACATTTTGGGGGTATT